CGCGGGCCCGCCCCCTCCCTCCGGCCGCGGGCCCGCCCACCTCCCGCCCTCAGGCCGCCGCGCCGCCCCCTCCCTCAGGCTGGCTCCTGGGCGAGCTGGAGGCACACGGCGCCTCAAGAGTCCGAGGGCCATTTCCCTCCGATTTCCCTGAGCCCTAAACAGCTGACAAGTCTAAGCACTCAGCAGGACAGCACTGAGCCCGTTCCCCACCCGAGCCTGCGGCCTCCCAGGCGCTGGCAACTGCGGCGTCAGCGGTTGGCATGCTGGCTGCCGGAGACAACCGGGGTTCGGCTCGACCCCGTTCCTGTTCGTCTCCCCGCAGCGGGGCGGCGCACACCCGTCCTAACCGCGTTTCCGGCGCCCGGCGATCGACGCCCCCTTCTGGCCTCCCAGGGAACTGCACACACATGAGCACATACCGGTTCAAACACGCACAAAGTACCCATAAAACCACAAGAGCAAAAGCCGGCCTGCCATCTCGGCAGGATGAGTACGTAGGCACGAGTTCAGGGCCAGCCTCGGCTGAGTGCTCAGCAACGACAAAACACTTCGAGTTTTTCAAAAGGGCCTGGGTCCGAGGAGGTGACTCTGGAGAGACTCACCTAAGCATGCAACACTGCGGCACCATTGACCGAGAAGAGGAGGCAGGAGGATTGGAGATCGACCTTCCCCCAGAGAGCCTTAACGGACAATGTGGAGCTGGAGGGGGAAGCCCGGGCTAGGGCTTGGAAAGGAATGTTCCAGAAGGGGCGTGGCTTCTGAGACCGTTAGCAGGGCCGGAGCCAATCAGGGAGCGGCGGTTGAAGGCCGGAGCACGTGGCCGAAGGCAAACCGTTATTTTCCTGACTTCCAGTTGTCCCACTCTGGCTAAATTTTCCCCTGAGAGTGACGAGACAGTTTAGAAGTATGGTAAAATGTGCCCCTGCCTTCTGTTCAAAAATATTGATTTTTGGGCTTTAAGGGATACTTCTTTCAAGTTTCTAAAGCGAGGGAGGACAACATGGTAGAAGTCCCTGAATTGTCTGTGTTTTGATACACATTCTTAGAGAACGCATTACACAGATTTTAGCTATATTAAAGTAACCATGAAAGAGACAAAAATAAATGCTAAGCTACTCATTGGAATGTAAGAAACTTTGAGTTTGGGGGGGTCTGTTTGGGGGTTTTTGGGTCTCTTTGAGACAAGGTCTACCTGTAGCTCTAGCTGGCCTGGAAGTGGCTATATAGACTGTTAGAGTCCAGGTTGGCAGTGACGCCCCCCCCCCAGTGCAGTACAGAGTCCAGGTCAGCAGCAACCCTCCCACAGTGCAGTAAAGCCCTATGAGACATCCCCCTCTCCATCCTCTCAAAAACAGGAGTTCAGTCAGCATGAGTCAGCCCAGTCTGTTTCCCCAGAGTCACTATAGTGTTTCCCCAGCATCATTTTTACCTTTCATGCTTTCCGCACCCCTATAAAAGCCTCCAGCCAACAGCTTGAGAGCTGGTGGTTTCCTCACTCCAGAGCTGAGAGGCACCCAGTGTGATCTTCCAAATAAACCCTGCCCTGCTTGTGTCTCAATTTTTTACCTACCAGAGACCAGGCTGGCCTGGAACTGGCTATGTAGACCAGGCTGACCTTGATCCACTAGGCTGCCTCTGCCCCTCTTTGTTGGGATTAAAGGTGTGTGCCCCCACACCTGGCTTAGAAACATTAATCCTTTTTTTTTTTTTTTTTTTTTTTGTCTTTTTGAGAGAGGGTCTCCCTGTAGCCCCAGCTGTCCTGGAACTTACTATGTAGACCAGGCTGGCCTCGAACTCACAGAGATCCACCTGCCTCTGCCTCCCCCAAGTGCTGGGATTAAAGGCATGTGCCACCACGCCAGGCTGAAACATTAAATCTTGAACAGGCAGACCTACCTGTCCATAAGACAGGGTCCCTTGGGCCTTCGGACACCCGGAATAGCTTTAAGGAGCACAAAAATGCTTTATCTTCTTATGAAATCAGTAACAAAAACATTTTTAGTTTGCAGAAGATGTGCTCTATATCGGTATATTTGTCATTATACCAATGCAGTCAAAAAATGTAATTGTTACTGTTTGGTGGGTGAAGATGCCATAGAAGCAAAAATTTCCCGAAGCCTCCAAAATGCATAATTTCATCCAGCTTCTGAAACCCTCTGTGGCTCTTTACAATCTGTACACATTTTTTATGTATAAATGACATAATAGGCTTCACAAGTTTTTATCTTCATATATGGAGTTACAGTGAATGTGTATAATTTCTGCAAATTGCTTTTTACACTAAAGATTAGAGATCTGGTGCTGGAGAGGTGGCTCCGTGGTTAAGAGCACTCACTGCTCTTGCAGAGGACCCTGGTTCATTTCCCCGAGTGTATATGGGAGCCCACAACCATCTGTAACTCCCGTCTCAGGGGGTCCAGCACCCTCTTCTGGCCTCTGCACACATGCATCTGTATGCACATGGTGCACATGAACTCAGGCCGGCACTGGCACATTCACATACAAATTAAATAAATAATTTTAAAAGATCTATTCTGGGCATAGTGGCACAACTTCCAATCCAGCACTTGGAAGGCTGAGGCAGGAGGATCACCAGGCATTCCAGGCAAGCTGGGACTATTACAGTGAGTTCCAGGCCGGGTGGGCTACAGACTGAGATCTTATCTAAAAAAGCAAAATTGGAGTTTGGGGTGGTGGAAATCCCCATCTCAGGGAGGAGATTCATGCTGCTCTCCACTTCAGTGAGAGAAACATCTTTTTGAAGTGGGTAGTGGTTAATGCAGAGATTCATAACTGGTCAAAGTGCTGAGGTTAGCTCTGACTGCTTGGCTGTGAATGAGCACTATATGAGACTTCCACCATTCAAGGCTCAGGGAACTTCCAGGAAGAAGGAGTGGAAAGAATGTAAGAGCTGGAGGATGGAGAGGAGAGCCGTGAAATGCTGCCTTCTGGACAGGGCCTGCTGGGGCGTGCATCAGCTTACAGAAGCAGTGGTTACCCACGCAGGATCAAGCCAGTCAAAATTCCAGTTTCAATGGGAGAGGAGACCCAAGGCCCCAACCCGACCGAAGGAGCTATTAGCAGTCAATGGCAGGTGAGATGGAGGGTCACTCTCCTGTGGGGATGTGACCACCAATAGGTTGCTCATGCCTAGTGGAACGGGCCACACGCTCATGCATATAGGCAGCACTAATTGGACTCAAGAGGAATATTAATAAATAAATAAAAATAGAAAGGATATGAAAGAGATGGTATGGGGGCACTGGGGAGAGTTGGAGGGAGGTAGTGGTGGATGGATATGATCAATATACATTGCATAAATGTATGAAACTTTTTAAAAATTTTATGTATACGTGTGTATTGCCTGCATGTAGGTAAGTGCACCCGTGTCATGCAATGTCAGCGGAGGACAGAAGAGGATGTCAGATCCCCTGGGATTGGAGTTACAGACAGTTGTTAGCTGCTATGTGAGTGCTGGGATTTGAACCTGGGTCTTCTGCAACAACAGTCAATGATCTTAACCACTGAGCCATCTCTCTAGTCCCCATGTATGAAACTTTATAAGAATAAAAAGATTATTTTTTAAAAGTCAGGGGCTAGACATATAATTATACACAATAAAATACATGGTGGACAGATTCCACTAAATCCAGGGAGTTTATGCTCTTCTTGTGTCTGTCCTTCATCATAATGTGTGAGTTTCATAAATGTAACATATATTAGCCATTCATTTCTGTTGGCACAGTTCATTAAAGAATGCACCACAATTCAATTTTCTTCACGCATCTATTACTAGATATTTTGCTACTTCAAGTTGGGATGTTACAAATGACAGACACTGTTATGAATATTACTGTACAAGCATTTTTTAATGTTATTTATTATTTTTATTTTATGTGTATGCGTGTGTTGCCTGCATACAGGTAAGTGCACCTATGTTGTGCAATGCCTGCAGAGGTCAGAGAGGCTGTTGGATCCTCTGGGACTAGAATTATGGAAAGTTGTTAGCTGCCATGTGGGTGCTGGGATTCAAACCCGGGTCTTCTGCAAGAACAACCAGTGTTCTTAACCACTGAGCCATCTCTCCAGCCCCATGTACAAACATTTTTAACAGGCTTCTTTTCTTTTGAGACAGGGCCTCACTACATAGTGCTGGTTCGTCTGGGACTCGCTATGTATGTAGACCAGGATGGCCTCAAACTCAGAGAGATCTACCTGTCTCTTCCTCCCAAGGGCTCGGATTAAAGAAAGTCATGTGCCACCACTCAGCTGTGGCTTGAGTTTTTATAGGTTTTTTAAATATTTTATTTATTATTCTTATTTTATGTGTATGACTGTATTGCATGTATGCAAGTGCACACATGTCATGC